TTGCATGTAGTGTATTATGGCAAGATTGTATGTAGTGTATTATGGTATGATTGCATGTGGTGTATTGTGGTATGATTGTACGTAGTGTATTGTGGGAAGATTGTATGTAGTGTATTGTGGTAAGATTGTATGTAGTTTATTATACCACAACTTTGAGCCGATTGCTTCCATACATCACTGCTTGTTGTTGAGCTTCAATGAAGTGTGTTTTATCACATTTTACAGCCCAATGGTTGCGTACATCATGGGTTGTTAGTTGGCTCACTTTTATAGTTTTGTATGGTGTGTTTGACTACTCGCTAACAGAACTACCAGTACACACACTGCTGTGACAGTGTGGCCAGTTTATTTTTGGTTTTGGCAAGATTGTATAATGTGTCTTATATGGCAACTTTGAACCAATGGCCTGCATACATAACCTCTTGTTTTTGAGTTATAATGAAGTGTGTGTTATGATGCCTTACAGCCAATTGGTGACTAAACGGGGGTTAAACACCTGTCGGTTGTATTCATTCAATCACACAATACAGCAGTGGTCATTGCAGACACATCTGGTGGAGATCTGAACTCTACTGAGTGCACCTTTCCTGTTCATATATTGTAAAACTTAAAAATGACACAAGCATTGATCCTTCAGCTGTCGCACATGACAAATTCTCTGATATGCTAGTGTTTCTTTACTCTAATCTCCAACTTCAGTGCACCATGGTTTGTTAGTACAAGCACTTTGTTTTTGCTCAGGTAGATGTATTTACCTTTCATGTGATGAGAAAAGTCCTTCTTGTCACCTGATGACACCCAGCAGGTATAATTACTGTCTTTGTCTGCAACAGGAAAGTTGAAGTGGAGGGGAAAGCAGTTGACAAGTGGTCTCATTGTAACTGTTTACAGAAAGGTTCAACATAATGCAAGATCAATGTGAGCCTGAAGTTACTTCTGCAAAAAGTCTGAAAGAAAATCATTAGAAATATGAACTTCAGGGACTGTGAACACTTTGTACCAACCTAATATTTCATTCTCCGAGGCTAATGTCGGCGTACAGGACCTAAAATGACAAATGATAATGACATATTTAAATTTCCTTATCGGACATAAGTTAATTCTAATGAGTAAATTACAAACAAAACTAGAGACAATCTAAAGAAATCTTTTTTTCTCTTTTTCTTAAAAAAATATACGAACTAACAAAAGTCATGTACCTTCTGTTATTCCTCTTTACTTTTATTGTACTCTCAGGTCGGTCCTTGGGGGAATAAAGACAGACACATCTTACAGTTTGGCAAAATCAGAAAGGAAAGAGTAACAAAGAAATAATTGGATGTACTTGCATTTATCCAGCCGATGTGGACACTGGTATTGTTGTAGTGTGGGGGTCTCTGCACTAGCTGAGCCATTTTTACCCAAGCTAGCAGATACACTAGTAAATGGACTGTACTTGTATCTCTTGTTTCTAGTCTTCCGACCACTCAAAGCTCTTTAACACTACATGTCATCATTCACCCATTCATAGACACCATGCAAGGTGCCACCCGCTCATCAGAACTCTAACTAACATTCATACAGCATTCCTACACCGCAGGAACAGGCAGCAGGAGTAATTTGGGGTTATGTGTCTTGCCCAAGGACACATCGATATGAACTAGCGGAGCCGGGGATCAAATCATATGGAGCCAAATCCAGGTCAATAGTTTTGATCATTTGAAAAAAAAATGTGAACCTGAAAGTACAAGTTGTGGTCTTGAACATTGAAAAATACAACAATGTATTCAAAATAAAAAATAAGTGAATGAAAAGTTTTTTTGGGTTGAATATAATTTTGATTCAGTTCTTTTGTTCATTTTTCACTTTCATATATGTTTTGATATTTGAGGTCTTGTATTTTTCAGTTTTTATATTTTCAGATTCAAATCTTATTTTTTTCCACTTTCAGATCGTTTTTTTCAGTTCAGACTTTTGGCTGAATTCCAGAACTGAATCAAAATTATATTCAACCCAAACAAACTTTTCATTCACTTATTTTTATTTTGAACACATTGTTGTATTTTTCAATGTTCAAGACGACAACTTGAACTTTCTGGTTCACATTTTTTTTTCAAATGATCAAAACTATTGACCTGGATTTGGCTCCATAGAATCTCCGATCTTCTGCTCGACCACTGAGCCACAGTCGCCCCCATACAGGCTGAACTATATCAGGAACATTTGGATGGACTGGCAAGTCATTTGGTGCAGGTATCCAGGAAGCTTTTTATTTAGCACTGTAACTAACCAACATGCTAACATGCCATCATGATAAACATTGCACCTGCTTAACATCAGCGAGTTAGGATTCTCATTTTGTTCAAAGAGCTGCTGTAGCACAGCCTCACCGAACCGCTAGCATGACTGAACACTCTTAGGAATGTTTCCTTTGCATGCACCTGCATCAGCTGTGCATAATCCAGCAGCACACAATAATATGGGAACAGGTTTAATTCTAGTCTAAGAGAGCTGATTTGTAACCGTGACACTCTTTGTGCAGCCAGTAAGTGATCTGAGGAGTGTCACAAGTCTCCAAACTCAGCAGTTTCAAATTGGTTTGAATGTTTAGAAAGAGTAGTGTTGAATCTGAATAAAACATATAGACAATAAACTCACAGAACTGATGACTGGATCGGAGCCGCCCCATTCGAGCTTACACCTGTGAAGAGAAGGGCTGCACTGGTACTTGGGAGGTACTTCCTTGAGTGTTTGTCCGTAGGGTGGTTCATACATGCTTTCTGTGGAGCCATCCTGAGAGAAAGAAAACAGTCTGCATGGTGACAGCAACCTGGTTCAGATACTACAGCAGACTGATTGGCTGCGTTCAAACGTTCAGACCTGTGTATCCTGTTGCTGAGGCTCATCAAGGAGGAATTGTCTGGAATCAATCATCAGTCCGACTACACGATGCATACACACCATACACATCAAGGAGAGACGAGCATGTCTTAATAGTCCGCATCTACACTGGTGTAATTATTCTGCACATACAGCCTGTCACTCAAACATGTTCAATCATTGTTCAATGCACTTTTGTTTTTCAGGTCAGCAGTCTGCCATGAACACATCCATTTAGTCACTTCTATCATGGGAAGATACAGTAACACACATTGCACACCTGTTTTTAAGGTTCTTCTGATATTATAAATATTATGTCATGCTTATTTTCAGGTTCATACTTGTGTTTTAGGTTTCTAGTAGAACATTTGTACATGCATGTTTTTCACATCCTGTCCATCTGTATTCACCCTCTGCAAAGTTAATATCTCCAGCAGTATTTCATATCTGGGGATGTAGAGAAGGCTTTGAACAACATTTAGACCACAATGACGGGCAATGAATACATTTTCTAAAGTATTCTTAACATTTGACAGAGGTTGGTTGGTGGGTGGGGTTGTGCTGGGGAATTTAGACACTTTAGTATTTTTAAAATCCTTTCTTCAGCCGCAAACTCATGACAATTTATTCTCATACAAACTGCTCATCGTTTGTTGCCTCGTGTCTGTGGGACCAGTGTGATGACTAATTTCCACTATGACTTATCTATCTGTTTTTATTGTCTGTCTCAGTGTTTTGGCCCTTTTTGTATTAAATAATGTCAACTTAGATAGGGGGCTGAATGGGGATGCAATCAGTGGACCAATCAGTGATTAACCATTCAATGGTTGATCAGTGAATGATCACTGTTGTCCAGATGTCCTCGTGATGAACTCCTCCTATCCCATGTGCTCAAGGCCTTTATAAGTCGTACACAACCAACACTCTAGGTTCTTCCTCCTTCAGACCGCATTGCATTCTGTATGACGATTGAACCTTCTCTGCGCAGAGAATAAATACTTTAAAGACAAACTTCTTTCCTCAATGTTTCTTAATTTCAGTATCATAGGACTCACTCTGTACTATTGAAGAGTTTTTTCCACCGCACCAGCTACTATTGTTTATGTAGAGAACACGGTGGGATTGATGTAACATAGCAAATTCTGATGTATGTTTCCGGTTGCATGTTTGGTTCTACAGCATCTCCCCATTTGAATCTTCATCGATCCTCATATTATATAATATTTACACAGGTTTTCAGATCAGTTATCTAACCGCTGACATAAATCTGTCATGTTGTTTTCAGGTGAGCAGAACTTCTAATGGTGTTGTGTCATCACAGTCCATGAGGCTGATGACATTTTGTACTGTTTTTGTTGCTAGGTTTAGGATTTTACCTGAGCGTAAAGCCCCAAATCTGGCACTGATAGAGGAGGAGTAAGTGTGGTATTAACAGCCGCCGCTATAAATTGCCACCAATAATCAAATTGAACACATGCAGCCGCGTGACAGCTAGAAATGTCATCGCCTCCAACAACAAACCGTTGTCACATTGCAATGTCAACAAAGACTTCATACTCAATGAGCACTCATTTATCTTCTTATTATAATAATTACCACATTACGAGTGAGTTTTGTTCAAGCAGATGCATTTTCATTCTTTTTTTAAACATATGAACTCATAATAAAGTCAAGAATTAGTACTTATGCGCGATGAGGCAGAGTTGGAAAGTTGTTACATTGCTGGAAAATGTGTCACGTTGACAGAATTACCATTACATAATAAAGCAACTAATAACAGACATTATATTTAGAGTTGTATGCAAGATTACATCTAAGGAACATGATGAATCTTACAAAGAGCGAAAGTTCTTTGCAGCTTTGTCCCGTTCCCCAGGGAGACCATTCCAGAGCCTTATCAACAACAATAACATCACCAGTGTGTCCCACAGCGGGACACGCCGAGTCTCCTCCGCTTACCAGCTCTTCTACGGCTACAGGGGACCAAAACAAGCCGCTCCGGATACTCAAACCTTAACAAATTAGTATCTTACCAGTGTGAAGCAGAACAGGTTCATGTTGGAAGATCCGTGCCAAAAGAGACAATAGTGCCAAGCTGCGCACCCTGTGGCCTCTGGGATGCGGAAAACACACTTTCACGCACAACCACCCTCCCGCTCAAACACACGCACACACACACACACACCCCTGTGATGCAGAAGCACACACAGCCCCGACGCTGTCCACAGCCCCAAATGCCTAATCCCAGTTTCAAATCCCTCGCATAATCCAATAGACTCTCTGTCCAACACCGACCTCAGGGAGAGAGCCAGGCCGCCGCAAACAACAACACAATGACAGGCATGTGTCCGAAGTGATCATGATCATGACCTGATAGAGATTAGTCCGTACGCAAGGTTAAACTTATTGTGGCGGACAAAACAAGACTGCTTTACACACAAATAATACAAGAATCCTACGAGGTTTCGTCACATGTTATCACATGTGGTGCCAAGGTTTGCATAACACAGATTGTAATCAGTCCAGGAATACTTTTAATCCGACATCTTCCACTGATTCTAATTCAACAAGTAGAGCTATGCATTACATTATTTCCAGGACGATTTAAACTAGAAAACAGCTATCAGACCTGAGTTCATCCCGCAGTATTACAGTGATGCTGCAGAAACATGTGTCTCTTCTATGACTAGTGGTACAGTGCTTTCACTCTGCAAAATCCCACAAATCTCTAAATGCAAACCTCTCGAATTGTTTCTTCTCAGTTCGTAACCCTCTCCAGTCAGTGAACAGGCGTCAGAAAACATTATCACAATCATTGTTGATGTCAGGCTCAAAGTTAATCTCTTCTTGACAGCCCCCTCCCCCTGGTCTTTCCCGGTCCGGTCGTCTCCACCTCGTCTCTTGTCTCTCATCCAGAGATAAAGACGACCTTTCATGTTGTTGTGATCGGAGCTCGGCTACAGAATTGGGTCAGAGAATGAGCGCAATATTTCTCTGGTAATAAGAAACACAGAGGCTATTACTATATCAGAGCAACTTACATTTGCATGTGTTTACTGCAGCAAGGATTCAATATAATTTACATACAGCGATGCCAATCTAATCTCACATTTCTATTTATGAGATTAGAGGGCTACTCCGTTTATACGGGCATTGCACTTTTAAAAAGTCTCACAAAGGATGAAGCTGCAGATGTTGAGATACCTGAACTTGTAGTCCCTAATGTGTGTGTGTGTGTGTGTGTGTGCAAACCAAAAGTGTCTAATGATGATGAGGATGATGACATCATCAGGGTAATTTTTCCGACTTTGCAGAGCTTGTTCGCAGAGCCACAAACTATTTTATTCAACCTTTTCCAGCAATGGACCTCACGTGAACTTTATGTGCCCCTTTGAGGATAACTCGGAAATTAAATTAGATTTGCACAAGCATTTTTCTAGAACAGATTTATTGTGCATTACATGTTATAGTTTTTTAATGATTATTTATAATATGCTGATATAGATAGATAAAAAGGAGCATTGCAGTATTGATAATAATGAAGCAAATAATGAATTCTGATGGAATGTTTTCATATAAATACATGAATCCAAACTCTTGGTGGACACCTGTTGGTTGTTTTTTTGTCAATGGTCAGTTCACTTAGAAGGAAAGACTTTTCAGGAACACATGCATGCATCACACTCACTCAGTTACGCCTGGAAGCTGCCCAATACAACCACAGCCTTGATCTGCTGGCCACTGAACAGTCAGGGATTAAGTGCCTTGCTCAAGGGCACCTCAGCAATAGCCTGGATGCAACCTCTGGGTTACCTTTCACTGAATCCCACCAAACATACACCGTAGATCATATGGCTTCACTCACAATCCTCTAAGTAGCTATTAGTGCTGCAGCGTATTGAAATGCTTATGTTATGGCTGCTGATGTCACATTTGTCCCAGTCAGAGGTAAGCTTCTGTATGACAACAGAGCTGATGTGCAAATCCTGGTCTGCTGTGGCACATTTTGAGTCGGGATATCTTAGTGAAGTAGACTAATGCTCGTGGACTTCTACCCAAAATAGTTTGTTTTAACCCATCGACTGTTAATAAGAAGTGGACGTATTCACGGTGATGTCACCCATTAGTTTGTGGACTGCAGTTTTGAAGCCTCGAGGTTGGCATTTTGGCCGTCGCCATCTTGTTTCTTTGCAACCAGAAGTGACACAAGAGGGTGGAGCTTAATACAATCGAACGCTGAAGATGGCGATTTCGACAAAAATGTTACAATTAACTTTCATGAACTGAAAACACTCTGTGTAAGGGTTACATTAAAGCATCCCCTGCTTTGTGCTCTATCTGACTCTAAATGGACCATCATTTACTAAATGAACATCATGCTGTATTGAAGAAGACTTGAAACTAGAGATTGAGACCATAAACTCATGTTTACAATGTTTACTGAGGTAATAAATCAAGAGAGAAGTAGAGTCATTTTCTCATAGACTTCTATACAACCAGAGGAGTCGCCCCCTGGAGAGAGAATGCAGCTTTCTGGACTCTAGATTGAGTCAAATTTATTCATGAATCTAAACATCTTGTGAATTCTATATTTACAATGTTTTTATTTCTATCGTTGTTGTCCGAAAGTAAATACTTTTATTTTGCTTGTGTCATGATTGGTCATGATTCACTCTGTGCTCTGCCTCTATACTGGTCTGTACTGGTCTGTACTGGTCTGTACTGGTCTGTACTGGGACTGAAAGACATTTCACAGCCTCAGCAGGCCTCACTTTAATCCTTGAATGTTCCAACCATAGTGATGCATTAAACAGGGGTTGGTAACTGTAGGCACGTGGTAGCTTAACCAATAGCGTCTTTTATATAATTACAATGTCCTTGTTATGGTATATTATATATTACTAAAATTCCAGATCTGTTGAAGGTTTAAATTTTTATGTGGTGTCCAAATTATGCTAACCTTAATGTTGATACGGCAAACTGAATAACAAGATCATTTACAAACAGCCCCTGCATTACCTCCTGTCATTGATTGCGTCATTCCCTTTAACCTACAGCAATGCTGCCTGTTTCACATTGCTCCTGTAGATGGCAGTGTCACACCTACTGATTTCAAAGTGGCTCTGAGCTCATCCCATCTGTCATTAGAGCTGAGCTCTACTACTGTTCTTACAGTAATGTCAATGAGAAGTGTAAGGGTATTTTCTTTGCTTTATCTTTCATAATATTTCAATTATTGAATACGCCTCAATCTTGTAATGAGTTACAGTATGCAAGCCTCTACATTTTGAGTCTTGGAGAAGTGAGTGTCATGGGATCTTATATTAGTTGCATCAACTTGATACAATGCAGCACCAGTCCTTCTTGAAAAGTTTAATTAAACGCCATAATTCTTCTTTTGACAGTCTGAATATAATATGATTCATCATCTCCCGTTATATGCCTTCCACTGCGTGTAATTAAGATATTAAATCACAGTTACACCTTCAGCCTATATACCTACTGCTGCTGCTGCTGCAGGTAAAGTCTGACCTCTAGTCCTCGAGATGTCCGTCCAAACGGGGATGGAGACCACACCTTTGACCCTCTTCCCAACCTCCCGTTTACCCAGCATTCCTGCACTGACCTCTGACCCCAGGACGTGCAGAATCACAGCCCAGAGGCTACGACCCCGGCGTCCTTTATTGCGACCTTTTGAACTCTCCACCCCCCCCCCCCCCCCAGTCAAAAAGTGAAACAGTTCGTCCCCTTGGAATAAATGACCTCTCTCCCCTCTCTTGTCCAGCAAAGGTATGTGAGCGCGTTGACCCCGTTTGACCTTTCATTAGCTCTTCCTTTTATTACACCGCTTCCTCCCGTGCTGCCTAGTCAGCACGCCATGGGGCGGGGGATTGGTGGAGGCGAGGGGGGGGGGGGGGGGGGGGGGGGGAGAGAGGGAAGCAAGAGAAAGCTGAAAAAGAGAGCTGGAGAGGCAGCGAGAGAGACAGAGAGAGAGAGAGAGAGAGAGAGAGAGAGAGATGTGACACGAGGGCAGGAGATAGAGCCGAGGGAAGATAGATTGGCGGCATCTGCTGCGTTGACTGAAATGTCACCTTTAAATGGCTTCCCCGTCCTTGTTGCCCGTACCTCCATATCTGATCTCCATTCTCCTTGGGAGTTGTAGTTCTGATGACTTACGTAGGGCACAAAACAGATCTCTTATAAAAAATAATAGCATAGTTCCAGATAAGCTCTCAGCAAGAGGGGAAAAAAACAATTTTTCACGTCTCCTGTGGGTCTGTGAGTTCTACTGAAATTGACCATTTGAATGTTGAGAGTTAAAGGTCACTGTGCCATGTCTGAATACCATAATTGGATTTTGAAGCTTGCCGATGTGCCGAGTGCTTATGGGTGATGCAGCTCCTCGCCCCAACAGCTGTAATTCACGTCTTCCCTGTTTTGCTCCCATAAGATACGAAACCTATTTTGTTGGACACTGCTGGTGCAGTAGGACACCTCTGCTCATCCTGAGCACATTTAGCTTAGCTATGGCTGAATTACTTCAGACGGATGTTGTTTTTAAATGGAGCGAAGGGATTTAGCTTTGATGATCTCAATACAAAAGGACAAAAAAGAATACCGCCCCCCAAAAAAAAATAGAAGAACACTTCTTGTGCAGCTAAATCCGCCCCCAAGGCAAGAACAGTACATCCACATCTGGAAGGTGGCAGATCTTGTTTACTGTCACTTGACATGAGATGCAGTTGACATGTGTAAGAGATATGTCTGTTTGTGTGTGTTTGTGTGTGTGTGTGTGGGGGGGGGGGGGGTTTGGGGCTAAAGTCAGATCATGCTGACATTGTCTCCATGTGGTGGCTTGCCACAGGGCACAGCGGTGCCACACTTGTTGTCGTTCCTATCTCAAATGTCACTCTCAGTAAAGCCCATCACCATCTACTGGCTCGCGTCCCCGGGGCCACATTCACCCTTCAACCTTACAGTAATGTAGCAACGAGGACCTCGTCTCCGGCCCTTAAAGGCTGCTGTTTACCCCTCTTTTACATAATCCACTGTGTCACTGTAGGTCGTTAAACTCAAAGATGCACTGGAAAGTATAATGATGCTCA